TATTTTAAGCAAGCGCGAATACGGGGGGAAATTTAACTTTTTTCTGAAGGCCATTTCGTATTCAAAAAAGGCTTCATAGTCCTGTTTAGTTAGAAAATAGAAGACGGGATGCCTAAGGTTATATGTTTGCAAAAAGACTTCTCCTTTTTTTGAACTGCGTCCCGTCCTTCCTGCCATTTGGAAGAGTAAATCAAATATGCGTTCAGTAGCTCTAAAATCAGGAAATGCTAAACCTAAGTCTGCTTGTATTGCAGCGACTAACGTAACATCTGGAAAATCCAGTCCTTTAGCGATCATCTGTGTTCCAAGCAAGATAGCTGCCTTTTTTTCTTTGAATAGATTAAGTAAATAAGCATGTGCGCCTCTTCTGCTAGTAGAATCACCATCCATTCTTACGACAGACACGTTTGGAAAAAGTCTTTGAAGAAGCAAGTCAAATTGTTCGGTCCCTGCCGTGCCAAATTTTAGTTTTTCATTAGAGCATATATGACAGTATTGTTTCCAGGGTTGAGAATATTTACAATAATGGCATTTGAGAAGATTGGATTGAACATGAAGGGTTAAAGCCACACTGCAATTGGTGCAAAAAGGAATTGCACCGCAACGCTCACATTGTATATAACGCGCATAACCTCTTCTGTTTTGAAGTAAAATTACTTGCTCATTAAGTTCAAGGCGTTTAGAAATTTGGTTATAGAGGGTTTTAGAGAAGAGGGGAGAAATAAGTTCATCTTCTGCGAGTGAGATAATCTTAATCTGCGGAGCTTCAGGTTGATGTATTCGTTTAGGCAAAGAAATAAGAGTGTACTTTTTATTTTTTGCCTGATAATATGATTCGAAAGAAGGCGTAGCGGAGCCTAAAACACAAACGGCATTTTCCATTTTCGCACGCATAATAGCGCAGTCGCGAGCATGATATATGAATTGCGAATCTTGTTTGTAACTCTGGTCATGTTCTTCATCGACAATGATAATACCAAGGTTTGGGAGAGGAGCAAAAAGAGTAGATCTTGCCCCTAATGCAATTTTTGCAGAACCTGATTTTATGGCAAGCCAGTTTGCAAAACGTTCATTATCTGTAAGTTGACTGTGAAAGATTTTTATTTGTCTCGGAAATACATTTTCGAACCGTGAAGCCGTTTGTGGCGTGAGCGAAATTTCAGGCACAAGAATAAGTGCGGTTTTACCTCTTTGAATAGCTTTCTTTACAAGTTCAATATAGACATTAGTTTTGCCACTTCCTGTAACGCCATGCAAAAGAAATGTATGAAATTGTCCCTTTTCCATTGTATCGAATATTATGGAAACAGCAGATAGTTGGTCTTGAGATAAAGATAGATAAGGAACATCTATGCTTATAGAAAGATGCGACTGAATTGAAGTAACATGGGATGCCTCACAATGAAGAATTTTCTTTTTTACTAATTCCCCAAGCACGCTCTTTTGAAATGGTACTTCCGATGCTCTAAAAATATATTTATCACGATTGATAATCTCTTCAAGTAGCTCTTTCTGTTTTTTACTTTTTATTTTTTTTACTGTATCAAGCAGATTATGTTTTGGAATTAAAACGGTATAAAGATAATCAGGTCTTTGAGTTGGTGTAGAGATGTGGCGTTCAATTGAAATCCATCCGATCTTTTCTAAGTCACGAAGTGATTCTCTTACAGAACTTGATTTTGTAATTCGTTCTAAATAAGATATGGACAGAGATTTGTGTTTGGTTAATTCGTGAATAATGGTTTGTCGGAGTTTGGATTTTGTTGGTGAGGCTTCATCTGCATTTCTCAGCACAAAGGGATTAAGTTTAACAATTTCTTTAGGGGCAATTTTTGCTTTACGTGGAAGAGCGGCTTGCAAAATTGTAACTGGATACGATATGTAATAATCCGCCATCCAAAGTAAGAATTTGATAAGCACCGGGGAAAAGCCCGTTATTTCTAAATCGTAGCATTCTGTTATAATGTATGAAGATGTTGGCGTGGCACTATGAATATCAACAACATAACCGATGATGTGTTTTGTGCCTGTGTTTACAAGTACCGTGCTTCCAATAAATACACTACTTGCTAACGCATCTGGTATTCGACAAGTCAAAGCAAAATCACTTGGTTTTCCAACAAGAAAAACAGAAGCAGTCATTGTAAAGGAATTAGGTATTCCAATCTCGCGCGTATAGAAAATCGATTCCAATAGTTCTGTTAGATAGTTTTGGAATAATAGGCATCATTCGTTTGAATTGATTTTTTTGAATTAGAGATTTTATTTTAAAATAGGTTGCCGGATTAATATTTATGTTGGATAAAATCTCTTCGTCCGACATTCTAAGGTCGACGAGATTAAACAAAATCTCATCACATTCGGAGTATGAAAACCCAAAGTCCGCTTCGTCCGTTTGTCCTTCCCATAAATCAGCGCTTGGCTTTTTTTCAATAATTGGAGAGGGGATGTTCAACCAATGAGCAAACTTAAAGATGTCAGATTTATAAATGTCACCAATAGGGTTAATTGCGGATGCCATATCTCCAAAGAGAGTTCCGTAGCCAAGCAGAAGTTCTGTTTTATTGCTTGTCCCGATGACCAATCGTTTATCGCGTGAAGAGATATCATAAAGAACAATCATTCTGCAACGGGCTAAAACATTGCCACGACGAATGTTCGTCAAATTGGTGCTGTCGTTAAAGAAAGAATTGGCAAAGGACGTGACGGATTTTATTTCACTTGGTAGTTTTAGGGTATTTGCTAAAAGTGTTGCATGATCAATACTTTCTTGACTTGAGGATGAATAGGGCATTAGCACAGCAAGAACATTTTCTGCCCCAAAGGCTCTTACACAAAGCGAAGTAGTTACCGCCGAATCTATTCCTCCCGATAGCCCAACAACAACCTGTTTATACCCCACTCTATATACTTCGTTCCGAAGAAACATGATAAGAGCCTGTTCAACAAGATCGAACGACAAAATCATGGTAGTATTTTTTTGTATTCATCACTTGTTAGAAGTTTCCATTGATCTTTTGGAGATGTAGGTTTTACCTTAATCATCCATCCCTCGTCATAAGGCGATGAGTTAACTAATGCTGCATCGACGGTTAATTTTGGATTACATTCTATAATTTCGCCATCAATCGGCATGAACAAATCCGAAACTGTTTTTACAGCCTCAACCGTTCCAAAAGTTTCTCCGGATTTCAGTTTTGTACCAACAGGTTTGAGATCGACGTAAACAATATCACCTAATTCAAATTGAGCAAAGTCCGTAATTCCAACAGCAAGGGACTTGTTATCTAACGACTTGACCCACTCATGTTCTTTCGTATAATATAAATTATTGGGTATATTCATTTTATTATTTGATTATTATTTGATTGCTTGAATTTTTACATTTTTTTAAGCAAAGACTGTTTTTTCTTTTATTTGTGAGAAAAATGTTTTATGAAGTGAACGAACCACAGTGTCCGCGTCCACCTCTTCAACAACGAAACCAACATTCGTTTCCGACGCGCCTTGAGAAATCATAATAATGTTAATATTATTCTCGCTCACAGTTTGAAATATTTTGGACGCAACACCGGATGACTTTTGCAAGTTATCACCTACAACACAAATAGATGCTACTTTATTTTTAATTTTAACATCCGCAATAGTTGAAAGTTGTTTGACAAGGACGTTCAAGCTGTCATAGGAACAACTTACGGTGAGTGAAATTGATATTTCGCTTGTAGAAACCATGTCAATAGGAATTTCTTGATCATTAAAAATTTTAGCCACAGAATAAAAAAACCCCACGGTACCAAGCATATTGGTTGTCGTTAAATTAATAATGGTTTGATCCTTTTTGCAGGCTACAGCTTTTACCAATCCGTCAAAACTTTGTATCTCTTTCATAATAACGGTACCTTCTATTTCAGGTCTTTTTGAATTAAGCACAAGGACTGGGATATTTTTAGTTACTGCAGGTTGAATCGTTGCAGGGTGAAGCACTTTTGCACCAAAATAAGCAAGTTCAGCAGCTTCATTAAAAGTCATTTGTTTAAGTCGTCTTGCGTTAGGTACCACACGAGGATCAGACGTAAGTACACCGTCCACATCGGTCCATATTTGAATTGCTGAGGCATTTAGCAAAGAGCCAAAAATGGCAGCAGAATAATCCGATCCCCCACGTCCTAATGTTGTCGTTTTTCCCTTTTGAGTCGCGCCAATAAATCCTTGAGAAAGAACTACATACCCTTTATCAAGTAAAGGTCTGACAAGAAGATTTACTTTTGATTCTGAAATATCCCACAGTGGCTTTGCACGGGTAAATTTATCATCTGTAATAAGAATCAATTTCGCGTCAATCCATGTTGTTTTTATACCATCTAAGTTCATTTTCTCGTTCAGAATAGTTGAGGAAAGAATTTCACCATTAGCAACAACAACATCCTTAAGACTGTTTGGACATTCACCGATAGCATGAATGGCTTTAAGAAGTTTTTTAATATCTTGTTCAACATGCTGAATTTTTTTTAATAACTTCAATGCAATAGGTGTTTCTTGAAAAAGAGAAACCACAATAGTTTCGTGTTTTTTTTTAATTTCTTCAAGAATAGTAAGAGCCTCTCTTAAATTTCCGTTCTCGCTTTCACTTATAATGGTAAGAAGTTTATTCGTAACACCAGCACAAGCACTTACAATGACCATAGGCGCAGAGTTTGATTTCGTTATTTCTGATTTAACAATAGAAGAAACTACTGCCATTGCCTGAGCATCTTCAACAGATGTTCCCCCAAATTTCATAACAACCATGTTAGAACTACTTTTTAGTTTTAATTTTTGATTAAATTTGATTAATATTTTAAAACATTTGAGCAAAAATTCAAATTTTAATGAAAAAAAAATTTGAATAAGACCGACCGACCGCAAAGTTAAAACACAAATGACGGTTTTTTGAACAAAAAGTAATAAAACACTTTTATTTTGAAGATGAAATGATGTGTGTTATATTTGCAATTCTTTCACGAGGTGTGGCGCAACTGGTAGCGCGCCTGCTTTGGGAGCAGGAGGTTCCGAGTTCGAGTCTCGGCTCCTCGACAAAAGAGGTGTCAAATGCGTCCGTAGCTCAGTTGGATAGAGCAACAGCCTTCTAAGCTGTGGGTCACAGGTTCGATTCCTGTCGGGCGTACGGGTTTATAAAAGATCGAAATGGTGATTGTAGCTCAGTTGGTTAGAGCGCCAGGTTGTGGCCCTGGAGGTCGCGGGTTCGACCCCCGTCATTCACCCTCGTTTTGTTTAAATTACTTTAACTATTCTTTTATGATAAAATTAGAATAGAATATTTAGGTTTTTCGGCCCCATCGACTAGTGGTTAGGTCACCACCCTTTCAAGGTGGCGGGACGGGTTCGAATCCCGTTGGGGTCACTTCTCGGATAAATTCAAAAAAATCGGGTTGTAGTTCAACAAAATCACCGAGTGACCGTTTTATCTTCAAACCAATTTTTCTTTTCTTGTAATGAAAATTTCGTTGAATATTTTAAAGCAGCTAACAAAGTCACTTGAAATAAGTACGAAAGAAATAGAAAATAAATTAACCTCCCTCGGAATAGAAGTTGAAGGTGTAAGTGATTCTTATCCTTCATTTTATGGGGTTGTGGTGGGTGAAATTAAAAATGTGTTCAAGCACCCAAATTCAGACAAATTAAAATTATGTCAAGTAGATGTCAAAGGTCAGAATTTACTTTCAATCGTTTGCGGTGCGTCTAATGTGTCAATAGATTCAAGAGTTGCTGTTGCAATGATTGGGTCAAAGTTGCACCTAAATAAACCAGAACCTTTAATAATAGAAAGACGTTCAATTCGAGGGGTTGAATCTGAGGGAATGCTTTGTTCCGAAAATGAACTTGGTTTATCAGAAGATGCCAATGGTATTATGATTTTAAATAAGTCCTACCCAATCGGAAGTAATCTTTCTGAATTAATTCCAAGAGACACCGTTTTCGATATTACTGTAACACCAAATCGGGCTGACGTACTTTCACACATTGGTGTTTTGAGAGAATTAGTTGGCGTTAAAAAGTGTTACTACCAGAAGTTTTTAAATTAGACTATGTAAAAAAATCCAAGAAATTAGAAATTTTAACGACAGACTGCTCTCACTATGTGGGTACTATTGTTAAACATGTCATGATTAGACCCTCACCGATTTGGTTGCAGCAGCAATTACGCGTTCTTGGTATTAAGCCAATTAATAACGTGGTTGATGTAACAAACTACGTCTCTGCCTTAATAGGTAAACCATTGCACGCCTTTGATTTAGAAAAAATATCAGGTGAGAAAATTACTGTAAAATCTGGGAACCCTTTTTCAGAAAAGTTTATTGGATTGGATGGTAAAGAATATACTATCTCTAACAACATGATAACTATATGTGATAATAATAAAGTACTAGCATTAGGGGGGATTCTTGGAGGAATGAATTCCGCAGTAGGAAATGAAACTAAGCATATTTTATTGGAATCTGCATGTTTTAATCCCGTAAGAATTAGACTGACATCAAAAAAACTGGGTCTCCAAACAGATGCCTCATACAGATTCGAACGCGGTATTGATAGTACACTTGTTCGACAAGGAGCAGAATTGGCAATAAGATTAATTTTAGAAATAGCGGGCGGCAGCAATGTTGAATGTTTTGAAAACGAGTGTGAGTTTTTACCAAAAAGAACCGTAAAAGTTAATTTCGATTTCGTAAAAAAAATGCTAGGAATGGAACTTGATTTAATGCTAATTGAAAAAATCGGTTTTGAATGTGAAAGTAAAGATAGTTCTGGAATCCTATTTCGAATCCCTTCATGGAGGTTAGACGTAGCCACAGAAGCAGACATTGTTGAAGAGGTTGCACGTCTTTATGGTTATGACAATATTCCTGTAGCAGAGTATTTAATAAGTTCATATCCTAAACCTTCGAATAAATTTATTCTTGTCGAAAACCTACTCCATGAAAAAATGGTAGGATTAGGGTTTAATGAGATTATAACTTCGCCTTTAATTTCAGAACAAAAAGCAAGTTTGTTTTCAAGCGATTATGTAAAAACGATTAATTCTATTAGTCAAGATCATACTTCATTGAGAGGAAGTTTGCTTCCAGGATTTTTACAGGTGATTTCTCATAACCAAAATAGAGGTATAACGCAATTACGAATGTTTGAAGTTGGAAATATTTTTGCATTATCTTCATCGGTGAAGGACGACTTAATTCAAGGTACTATTGAAGGATATATGGAAAAAACCGTTTTGGGTTTTTGTATAACGGGATCCGCATTCCAAAGAAACTGGATTCAAGAAAAAAGAGATGTAACATTTTATGATTGTAGAAGTATAGTGGAAGGTTTGGCAAGAAGTTTTTTTCCAAAGTACAGATTATTGTTTCACGAAACCAAAAATTTAGAATTAAATATTTTAGTAGTAAATTTGCCTAAACGTCTTGAAATTAGTGAGTTATGTATAGGTAGATTACGAGTTATTAGCAAAGACATTCTAACTTATTTTGATTTAAAGAATTTGGTTTTTTATGTTGAAATAGATATCAGTCAGGTAATTCGCCTTGTAAATACTACGGATATTAAAATAGTTCAACCCTCAAAATACCCTGTTGTAAGAAGGGATTTAGCTTTTTTAGTGAAGAATGAGACTTCGGTTCAGGATATGATTGAAACTATTTATGGGGTAGATGAAATGGTTACGTATGCTTCTATGTTTGACATGTATCATTTAAGCATTGACGATAAGTCAAGAAGTTGCGCATTTCGGGTAGAATTAGAAAGTAATGAAGCTACCTTGAATGAAGCACAAATACAGAACGTAATAAGTAGAATTGAGATAGAGTTGGAGAAAACTTACGGAGCTAAATTAAGAGCTTAATAAGGAGTAAAACGAGGATCAAAGAGATTGCAGTAGTTAATTTGTATTAGGCTAATGGTGACTCAATTAGATTGTGAGAGGTTAATCGGAGAATTGTACCAAAAAATAGAAAGAATAATTGCTACAAATGCAGAATTACGTGACCAGCGGGATTTATTGACCAAGCAGTTAGGACTAAACAAGGTAGTATCAAATGACGATAAAAAAATTGAGTTGGATAATAAGTTATTACAAAAAGAGAATGAGGAACTTAGCCGTCGTTTGAAAGATTTAAGCCAAAATGACGAAAAAATAGCCTCGCGTTTCGAACAGTTAGAAAGATTATCACAGGAAAAAGAAAGTCTCTTTGAAAAAAACATCTCTCAAGAAAGACTGTCTTTTCAACAAACTGTAGAAACACTAAAACAAGAGATTGAGAATGCCGAGATAAAAAAAATGGAGGTACTTTCACAAATAGAAGCTATGTTAGCAGTTGTAAATAAGTCTCGCACCGAGAATGTATATTCATTAAAGCACGCACTACTACGCGTACGATTGGAGTCCATTTTAGAACGGGTTGAAATAGCATTAGCAAAATTAAACGGCATTTCGTTATGACTGGTGACACGTCTGAAAAATCTTCTATTAATGTTAAAATAGGAAATCATGAGATGACACTCAGCACAAAAAATGAAACTTTGTTAAAAAATGCAGAAATAGAAATTTCTAAGTTGATTGATTTTCATCGTTCTAAAATGAACGAACAGGTTGAAGAATATTCCTATGTTGTAGAATATTACAATGTTTATATCGTAGCATTAGTCGCTTTAGATCTGGCAGAGAGAGCCTTGGTAATGGAGGCGACCATGTCTAATTTATTAGGTCAGTTATTAGAGATTAGAAAAGTTGTTGATTCTGCGCTTGATTCAAATACAATTATTTCAGAAATTTCTTCTTCTGTACTCCGTTAATCATCTTTGAATGTTTAACTACAAATTCCTGTAATTGTAGTTAAGTTATTGTCCTTATTTCTGTGTTTTTTCTTTGTTGTGTGTAAGATATTAAATACATTTTAAAGTGGTAATTTTTTATATTAGGAAAATATGATTGGGTTATTAATTATTGTAAGTTTATTAGGTTTAATAATTGGATTTACTTTGGGTTTTGTTGTAGTTCGGGTAATGTTAGATCGTAAAGGTACATCTTTGCTATTAGAGGCTGAAGAAAGAAGCAAAGATTTGATTTTGAAATCGCAATTGGAATCAGAAAAAGAACGTGCGGCAAAATTAAAGTCTGTGAATGACGAGTGGACGAAAAAGAAGAGAGATTTTGAATATGAAATACAGTCAAAAAACAACAAGTTGATAAAATTGCAGAAAGACATTGGAAACCAGGAAGAATTATTAGTTCAAAAAAAGGAAACTTTTAATAAGCGTGAAAAACAAATAGAAGAACGAGAACAAGAGTTAACAAAGAAGCAGACTTTTTTATTGGAAAAGGAACATGAGCTTCAAGATGCTATTAACGTACAGAATAAACGGTTGAGTGAACTAGCAATGATAGATGCTGAGGATGCGAAAAATATGTTAATGGAAAATTTAGTAAAAAGTGCAAAAACAGAGTCAGCCACGTTTATTGAAAAAATCAGAACAGAGGCAATGGAAACAGCAATGGAACAAGGTAGGAAAATATTGTTCAATGCAATGGAAAAATTAACAGAAGAAAAAATTTCGGATAATTCATTAATATTTATTACACTAAAATCAGATGAGTTAAAGGGAAGAATTATAGGAAGAGAAGGGAGAAATATAAAGGCATTTCAAAGTATTACAGGTGTCGATATTACGATAGATGAAACACCAGAAACCGTAATGCTCTCATGCTTTGATCCAATACGAAGAGAAATGGCAAGATTAACATTAGAGCGAATTTTGTCAGATGGGATTATTCATCCGGCAGTTATTGAGCAACAATTTAATGATATCGTAAACACATTTGATGATTATTTAAATAAGTTGGGTGAAGAAGCCGCAATAGCAGTAGATGTAAAAAGATTACATCCCAGTGTTGTAAAAAAGATAGGAATGATGCGTTTTCTATCCACGTATGGGCAAAATTTATTGGAGCATTCCAAAGAAGTAGCAAGAATCGCAGGTGTTTTAGCTGCCGAGGTAAAAATAGATTCTAAATTAGCAAGGAGAGCTGGCTTGTTGCACGATATAGGGAAGGTAATAAAAAATCAAGAGGAATCGCACGCTCTTGAAGGCAAACACTTTATGTCCGATTTTGATGAGCACCAAGATGTATTAAATGCGATAGGTGCTCATCATGGAGAAATTCCAAAGACATGCTTAATTGCGGATTTGGTAGTTTTCGCGAATGAAATTTCAGCGTCAAGAACTCATGTTAGAGGTGCTGTTTTTGCTAATGGAGAAGTAAAACGATTGCAAAGCTTAGAAGAAATTGCTCGTAGCTTCCCAGGCGTGGTTAAATCGTATGCAATAGACTCGGGGCGCCAGCTAAGA